ATGTTTTCTAGTTTTAGTCATTCTTCTCTATCCTGGACTAGCATTGTCCTCTTTAGGGATCATCCCTGAATGCTTTCAGCTGCCCCCATTCACTCTAAATCAAAAGAAACCAAACCTGTTGTCATTGAGTCGATTCTAACTCATGGCAACCCCATGTGTTATAGAATAGAGCTGCTCCATAGGTTTTTCTTGGCTGTAATCTTGACAGAAGCAGATCGCCAGGCCTTTCTTATGAGACACCTCTGGGTGGACTAGAACCTCCAACACCTCCGTTAGCAGCCAAGAACTTTAATCTGTTGCACCACGCAGGGACTCCCTAGATACCACTGCAGCCACCTAGGAAAAAAAAAATTGCCTTGCTACTACATGGATCTACCAGTAAGACAGAAACGTTCCTTTAGATATACATATTGTGTCCCTCTAACCATTACAATGTAACTTATTTTCTAGGAGGAGGTGAAGAACTGAGCAATTCTTCTTCAAAAGGAAGTAATGACATCAGATGAAAATTTGATTAATTTCAAAGATGTTCAGAAATTAAGTGAGCAGTTTTGGGCAGGGACTCAATTCCTGTCATTCATTCTCATCTGAAGGACTGTTGGTTCAAATAATAGGCTTTAGAAGTCAGATCCTCCTGGTTTCTAAATCTCAGTTCTCATGTATATGACTTTGGGTAAAATGACTTCCCCTCTCCGAGCCTCAATATTCTCTTTGCTGAAGAAATGAAAAGCTTGGCTTTATGCAGTTGTTTATGATGATTTAAAGAGATAACATATATTTCCTCGGTTATAGTTATTTTTATATCTAAATTTCAATAATTTTTTCCATTATTCTTGGTATATTTTACAAAAAGTATGTCAGGGTGTTTCTTATTTTAGAATTATTGCTCATCATTTGACTTTTTATATAAAAGTTTAAATCTTTCTTTAAACCAGTTTTTATCTATTATTTCTTTTATTACTTCTCTCTTCTATGTGCACCATTATCTCCTCTGGAATCCCCATGTTATGGATATTAATATATTCTCTAAATCTTTTTTTTTTTTTTTGGGTCACTGTAGTTTCTTTTTTCTTTTTTTTAATTGTACTTTAGATGAAGGTTTACAGAACAAATAGTTTCTCATTAAACAGTTAGTACACATATTGTTTTATTCTTTAAATCTTTTAACTTTGTTTTTATAACTACAAATACTTACTCTACATTTTTATACAATTCCTAAAAGATGTTTTTCTAAATTAATAATTCTATTTTTAAGAAAATTCATTTTGTTACTCTTTGCCTTGGATGAATATTTTTCATTTTCAAAAACTCTTTCCTGTTTTTAGACCTTAAATCTTAAACCTAAACTATCCCTGAAGCCATCTTTAAAACAAAAAATAGTTTAGCAGAATTATTAAAGAATGTCTGCCTTAGGCATTGTGCTCGTTTAAAGAATTATCTATATGGGATCAAATTGACAATAGCAAGTTGAAAGATCAGGTGAGAAATGTAGGAGGCAGTGAGTTTATGTCAATGGTAGAGGAATGATTTGGAAAAGGATAGCAAGAATAGTTACACAATGTCACTGAATTGTACTTGTAGAAATTGTTGAATTGGTGCGTGTTTTGCTGGGTATATTTTCACCAAAAAGGATTTTAGAAAATAATAATAAAAAGCTCTTTCTTATACTCAAAAGCGCTTTTCACTCTTCTTATGTGCCGGTAAGCGGATTCTGACTCATAGTGATCCCACGCGACAGAGTAGAACCCCACAGGGTTTTCTAGGCTGTGATGTTTACGGGAGCAGATCACCAGGGGTTTTCCCCTGTGGAGCTGCTGTATGGATTTGAACCACCAGTCTTTCAGTTAGCAGCCAAACGCTTAACCATTGCTCTACCAGGGCTTCTTTTTTTCACTCCAGGTTCTTTTTTTTTTTTAAATTGTACTTTATTTATTTTTCTTCTCAACGTGTTTATTGGCTACTTATTTTAATTGTACTTTAGATGAAGGTTTACGGAGGAAACTAGTTTCTCATTAAACAGTTAATACACATTTTGTTTTGTAACATTGGTTGCCAACCCGAGGACATGTCAACACTCTCCCTTTCTCAACCTTGGGTTCCCCATTACCAGCTTTCCTGTCCCCTCCTGTCTTCCTGTCCTTGCCCCTGGGCTGGTATGCCCATGTAGTCTCATTTTGTTTTTCACTCCAGGTTCTTTAAATGTGGGCTCCACGCTCTTGAGAGGTTTGGCTTGTGGTTTCAAATTCTCAGTGGCACTTTTTACCTCCTTCCATTTGGCTACAAGACCTGAGAGTTGATTTTCCTCACTATTCACTAGGTTATTTCTGGTCTACTATTACAGTCAGTTAAGAGCTTGGCTGCTAACTGAAAGA